GGACAAATTTGCTTTAACACATGGAGAGAGGGGTGGCCCAACCGACAATGTGCTTCAAAAGGGGTTACAACTCCAGAACAGGCTATGGATCTTGGAACTTGTGTATCAAGGATGTAGAGACCTCCAGACTCATGTCCCTTACCAATAATCTTCTTCGTCGTAAGATCCTGAGTTTGCTAACAGAAATTAAATTAAATGATACTGAGGTAAACTAAAAACAGATGACAAAGGAAGTGATGGTGGTGGACTAATTGTGCCAGACCCAATAATACAAGATGTTGACCCATTTGCTAAAGTAACAGGAGAGGTAGATTTATGTGACTGAAAGGTAAAAAACAGACTTGAATTACCTATCATATGATCTGTAACTCCAGAATCAATGACCCATTTTGAAGAGGAGGAAACAAGACATGTATTGGGTTTACCTGACTCGACGATGGTAGTAACAGGAGTAGATTGAGGTTTCAATGATTCTTGGTACTGAGCAAATTTGGCATATTCATCTGCAGATATCATAACAGACTTCTYAGAAGTAYCYGTGRTGGATRCAATATGGGCTGACTGAGTTTTCTTATTCTGCAACTTCCTGCAATCCCGCTTCATATGTCCTGGCTTATGACAGTAATGACACACTATCTCTCTCGACTCCTGTCCACGAGTATTAGTATTCCTGTCATAGTTACTTGACCTGTCATAATTGCTAGATCCTCTACCACTACCACTCCTGTATTGTTATCTCCCTAATTCAGATGTATTATTGCGGCTGACAAGGGCACTACTAGGCTGAACAGGTGGAGAACTTTCTGTACGAAGGACCCTACTGAAAGTATCTTGTAGAGAAGAGATCTTTGAACTGGAAAGAATCTGAGATTTAGCAGTCTCAAATTCAGAAGGTAGGCCAACTAAAAAACTCATAACAACCATCTTTTCTCGTTGAGCTTGTTGAACAGTCACATCAGTACTAAACGGAAGCAACATATTAAGTTCTTCATATGTTTTCTTGAAATCCATGAAATAGCTTGTAAGAGATCTATCGCCTTTGTCCGCCCTGTAAAAGGCTTTGCACACATCATAAACGCGGGAAATATTCCCCTTTCCGGAGTACAATAACT